TTTTGTGAGGTTTTTTAAATTGCTAATGTTTTCTAGAGCTGCTTTTTCTACTTGTTTGACATTACAAATAGTTGCATCCAATTTTTGTTCAAGCGTCAAAATACTTTTGCCTAATAAATATGGAGCAACAGGTTGAGGTATTGACGGGTCAGAAACCATGCTTTCATTATCACGACTCACTTCAACTATTTCATTATTTGATGAACTAAGGCTAGCATCCTCTATGTACAACCTGGTATAAATTTTTTTTGCTGTTGCTTTTAATGCATGTTTGGGCGGTAAGAGTAGTTTGGAGTTGATATTTGATTCCTGATTATAACTAATTGGGTTGTTTAAAAATTTTAGTAATCCAATTAAATTGGCATTTCTGCGTTCTTCAATTCTCTGCTGCACAGATTGAAGCAGTTTATTAGCTATAAAATTTTTTTTCTCCGTCAAATCGTCTAAGATGAATATCATTACACCTTCTGCGTCAAGTAGAGTAGCATTACTTCTACCAAGTCTTTCTATTCCAACTTTTATTGGTTGCAGAGAAAATGTTATGTCGTTCATAATCGCATATTCATCTTCGGAGATATTCAGAACTTCTTTTAAATCGATCATTGCTTTTAGTATACATGTTTTTACTTTAAGGAATCTTTCTAGCATTGCAACAAGACTATTCTACCTCGTTTTGACATCTAATATCAGCTTAAGCTCTTTATTAAACATAGATTTTACGTACATTTGTAAAACTTCATTTTTAAGAGGTGATTTACGGAACATTCGAACCACTTTTCGAACCTTCTGAATTGTTAAGGCTATATTTACGCTATTTTGTAAATCATCAATAAACGTAACGCCTGTTGAGCTGTGTGACTCATCATTACAGTCAAATACATCATCAAACTCGTCGTAATCACTCAAATTTTCATCGGAATCTTGAAACTGCGATTCAAATTCAATATATTTTGCTGAAGAGTCTGACTTTTTGTAAAGAACATCACATACTGCCAAATGAAGTCCGTGGGCATAACACAGCTGATGTTCAATACCACTTAGCCGTCCAAATTTTTTCATTACGGATGCTCCGTCAGTGACACTAGCTATGATGTGCTTTTTAATTGATAAACTGAAATCTGACAGTTTATTTTCAACTAGATCAACAATTTTTTCTGCAGGAAGTGATCCAGCTATCGGAGTCATTCCCAGGTTCCAAAACTTTGTTGATAAGTGTAAATTTACATTTAAATAACGTCGATTTTTTAAAGACGTATATTCGTCTAACGATAAAGAAAATCGCGACCCGCTAGAAATTTCTTTTGTTATCTCTAAAACCACAGTTTGTCTAGCTAATTCATATTGTTTTTTTATCATACCCATAACATGGGATGGATTTTTTGGTAATAACATGCCTTTTTCAGACAATGATTTTCTAATGAATTCACTTTTTGTTATGGCATTTATTGAGAAGCCATCCACCGTTGCTAGCTTTGACACAATTTCCTCGATAGTCTGCAGTTTAACAAACAATGTTATTTTCTTTTGAACAATTTTATTTTCGGAACCAGTATCTTCAAGTAGACGCTTCATATTTAGATCCAAATCTTTATGTGTGTTTTTTAAATGACGTAGGAGCCCACTGGTCGAAAATCCTTTGCACATTATCTTTACATTGCACTTTTTGCAAATTGCAGATTCGCCAGATTTTTCTTTACAAAAATACTGCCATGCTTTGGATCCATTTACAATTGACATAGTATAACTAAATTGAATCGCAGAACAACTAAAAGTAAAGTTACAAATATTTCTTACATATGTATGTTATCTTACGTATGACTTTTATGTGTTTGTTTGCCGTTTTTTAAATACAAAAATTATTAAATATTTCAATAATTTGATACAGAAAAAGTTTAACTTTTCAATAATTTAGAAGTTTAAAAATTAAACTTACTGTTTTCGTCGCAAGAAATCTTTTTTATTTTTTACTCATATTTTATAATAATGAGAAAAAAGAAAACATTGCATTGCAATGCATTTCTTTTTAGTTTAAGATAGTTTCAATAGCATTTCTTGTTGTGCTAGGTTTTAATATAAGGTATGAACACATAAAACACAACTAAATGCAATAATATTTTTCTTATTTTTGGTCGAATTAGTTCAAAGTTATCATATGTAAAATTATTTTAAAAAAAATTATATTCCGGGATATAAGAGTGATATCCCGGGAAATCCCGCTGCCACTTTTATCCCCGGGATCCCGGGAAAACGGGATCCCGGGATCCCGTTTGAGAAACCCTAATATAAACATATTAAAACCCTCCAGAAATATATTGTAAGTTTTTTCAGTATCATCTTTGTCTAACTAAGTCTTTTTAATTGTTATTAGCTATTTTTTTTCTCTTTTTGACACGTTCAGTAGACTTTTGAAGAGACCGCTTTATAGCTTCTTTATTCTTTTTATTAAGTTTCATAGACGTAACATATCCTGTTAGTTTAAATTTATTTAGTACAAATAGGATTCCATTAGGACCTTCATTAAATTCAATATCTGATGATTTAACTGCAGGCTCTAAGAACGCTCTGCGCGCATAAATATTTTTTGGACAGCGTCTCCAAATAATCTGGTTAAGTGTCTTGTTGGTGTTTTAGTAAATCATCTGAAGATACATCAGTAAAAGTTGGTTTTAAAATGTTGAAGACTAAAATAGGAAAATTAACTTGCTTTACATAAGTATTTTCACCATATCTAAATGATATTTGCACCAAGTCTCAGTGTCTCTTGGGCACATACGGTGTCGACATTCCATGTCGTCAAAATCTCTACAAAGAAACAAAATCGCCTAAATAACTTTTTTTATAGCATACAAATTGTTAAGATTGTTTCTTATTGCTAGGCTATAGAAGTTCTGCATAGAATTGATTAAAGATTTAGTTAACTTTCTTTTTTCATGAAGTGGTGTGCTTGTTCCTTTGTAAGTTTGTACAAAATCTAGTGTCCATTCTCTTCTGTGCAATTTGTATAAATTTTGCAATAAAAAATGTTATCAGGAATTATTAAAATTTAGTTATAATCAATAAAATTGCTGCAAAGTAAAATTTGTGTTAGAGGGTGTCGTCGACAGGACCACATTAAAATGGTAATTTTACTATGCATTTAAAGCATCTATGCAAAAACTATGATTCTCAAACTTTTGACCAATTAAATAAGATACGTACTTAATGATATTAATCATGATTTTTTGTAAATTGATACATATATAATTTTTTTGTGATAAAAAATAATAAAACAGTGATCAAAACCCACTACTTTACTAATTAGGATGTCAGTCTCTCTGGTTAAGGCTATGAACTTAATTAATGAAACACTTTTTAACTTTTAACTATGAATAACTGTATTGTCATGAAAATTTGTGAAAGTGATACCCAATTATGATTTTAATAACCCAGCAATTATATTAATGGGGATATGCAGTAAACCTATCTAAGTATTTTGAGCGGTTTATTAGAGTTATGCTCGAAGGTTACTTAAGGGATTTGCTAAAAGTGGCTAACCAATAACTCTTCCACATGTATTATAAAAGCTAGTTGTTGGCTATCTAATATGGCGGCTGCCACTAATGGTCCACTATGTAACTAATGAGCCTTTTTACAGTGGAAAAACAGTGAGAAATTCTTAAAATGGCTATAAAAGTCTACTAAAATTCCGCTGTAGAATGTTTGCTGGGAAGGTTGTTTACAACAATTTGCTGTGTGTATTTTTTTCAAATAGTCAAAATTAACTTAAAAATACTTAAAAAATGTATTAAAAAAATACGTCAGAGGATTGTTGTAAAGTTTTTATTCTAAAATAATCAAAAATATTGTTATTTGTGTATTTAATATAAGCACATTTGTTAACTATAAACGTTGTATTAAAAGCTTTATTTATTTATTTAAAATTTTTTTATAAAGGTTCAATATATAGTTTTATATTGTGTAATAAAAGGTTTCCCCTGTTTTAATTGATTGCCGTTTCTTTACCCTCAAAGTCCTTTAACACACCTCTAAGATTTTTAATAATTTCCGTTCAATTTTACAATTATTATTTGCACTAATTTTATTTTTTGGATAAAAAAAGAGTAAATAAGTTTTATATTAAAATAATAACTTAAAAATCATTGCAAAATAGACCTTTCCAATTCATTTATAAGCGAAAACCAGAAAGTTCGGTAATGCAACAAGTGTAGTTTCGGTAATGCAACACCTCACAGTTAAAACCAAATTTCCAAAAAATCTTTTTCGTTTCAAAAGCAAAGTTTATATTTATTAGACATTTGATTTAGTAAATATTACATCCAGCAAAAAAAAATTTCTTAAAAACGTATAAAAAAATTTTTTTATTAAACATTTTTTTTTGAAAACCCAAGTACGAGGTTTGTTAACTAATATATTATATAAAGTTTACTTGAACTCAGAAACTTAAAAACGCCACGATGATATGAAAAATGTCAAAATTTAGAAATGTCGAATTATTTAGTTTATAGCTTAATTTGAAGAAAATGATTAAAAATAACATACCTGAATGTCATTTTTATGATCCCCATGCATAAACCCTCTTTTTCAATGTATTCGGTAATGCAACGCATTTTTTAAAACGGCTCTTATATTTACAGTTTTTTTCTCTATATATTTTCAAAAATGACATATCCAAAATTTTTAGATCTTTCTTATTAATAATACTGAAAAAAAAATTTAAAAATACTAAGCGGCACGGCAATAATCTAAAATCCTGTGAGGCGATGACCTTGTTGCAATAGCGAATAGAGAACCATATACTGATGATGATGATGATGATGATGATGATGATGATGATGATGATGATGATGATGATGATGATGATGATGATGATGATGATGATGATGATGATGAAAGACATTATGTTGTAAAGAATTCCTTTACTTTTTAATACTCTATTTAAATTAAAAATTACGAAATTCAAAACACATTACGAAAACTCTAACTTTATCAAATAAACAGACCTTGCCTATAAAGTCTCATGCTCTCTAAAAGTTGACAACTTCGTAATTGCTGCCGTAAAAAAGGAACATCAAATGTTTGAGCTTCTTTAACTTTGCCGTCATCAAGATTATTATATGGATTTAAAACCCCAGCATTTTTTTCAGGTAGTAAGCAAAACACAAATGAGACACAAGAAACTTCAAGCAAATCTAACAATTTATCCTAAAAAAAAAGAGTTTTATTAACAGTGTAACAATTTATTTAATTAAATTCAACAACAACAACAAAAAAATTTCATATTTATACATTAAAAAACATATAGATTTTATGCTCTCTGATCTAGACTTTAGTCTAGGTACTGTTAGTCTGATGTATGATAAAAAAAATTTTTATAAATACTATTAGTCTGATGTATGATAAAAAATTTTTTATAAATACTATTAGTCTAATGTATGATAAAAAATTTTTTATAAATACTATTAGTCTAATGTATGATAAAAAATTTTTTATAAATACTATTAGTCTGATGTATGATAAAAAATTTTTTATAAATACTATTAGTCTGATGTATGACTAACAGTTTTTTCTAAATACTTTTGTACAAGATCAGAATCAGAAATAAGATAGAAATAAGATCAGTTTCAAAAATCAGAAAAAGAAAAAAAGAAAGATAAGTGCAAACTTATATATAAAAAAACTTTTAAGCAATGTAAAATGAAGGAATGTGTCGTTAAAGTGGGTATTTAAATGGAGAAATGTCCACCTAAAGTCATTAAAGTGGGTATTTATATGGAGAAATGTCCACCTAAAGTCATTAAAAGAATCAACTATAGTGGATATTAAAATAGAGTGCTGTGTCATTGATATGTAAAGAGAAAAAGTGACAGAAAAAATCAAAATTTGTTATAGTAAAATTATTGGCATAGGATAGACTGGAGAAGGAAATGCTATAGAAATTCACAGATGAAATTAAATTCACAAAGATGACGATGTTGTGTGTCAATAAATTCACAAAGATTATGTAATTTGTCAATAAATTCAAAAAGATGATGATGTTATGTATCTATAAATTCACAAAGATGATAATGTTTTGTATCAATAAATTTACAAAAATGATGATGTAGTGTGTCAATAAATTCACTTAATGCTGCTTCAACTCCATCAGTATAATCTGATTAATTCTGATAAATTTTTTAGACTTGCCTGATCTTAAACTTATTAAAACCAAAAAAAAAATTAAAGCCTTTAAAAACCAAGGTCACAAAAGCAATACAAAAAAGGATTCATAAAAAAAAGGATGAAGTGATGATGATCAAGACTAGAACTAAAATATCTGGAAATGGTCTTTAAATTTTTAGTTTTTTAAAAACTGTAAACTCTTTTTTTATCACTTAACTCAATAGTTGTTATTCAATGTATGTTATTCAAAAATATTGATCTTGAATATTTATATTGATCTTAAATATTTATATCGATCTTGAAATTATAATATAAAATCTCATTATAAAACCATATTATTATTACTATTATTTTTAATATTATTAGAAATGATTTAAAATTTCATATTTTAATTCATGTGATAACCGTATCATAAGATAAAACATAATCAAATCATAAGATAAAACTAGAAAAGTAAAGCATACAGTACAATGTAATATTAAAAAATAACCACAAATTGCAACAGTCTAAAGGAATTTAGTGGTAAAATATTTTAAATAAAAGAAATCTCGAAATAAGATAAATACTTTTATATCTTAATCAAATTTATAATATTTTCTTCTAAATCAAATATAACCATCAATTAAATGCTTGTCAATTAACTCAGATATGTATATAATAATAAAGAAAGAGGAGTTTATAACATATAAAAACTGCTTATAGTTATTTTAAAATAAAACAAAAAAACTTGAATATCTTCAAATATATCTTTTTTTTATCAATTAAATAAACTTCTAATTTTGGGATTACATTTATCTAATCCCAAAATCCCGGGATTAATCCTGGGATTTTTAAATACCTGTGTTTGAAAGATTTTAGCATATTATTTAAGTAAAATTTTAAATAAATTATTAATACATTTAAAATATGTTTAGAAAAAATTATTTATTGAATTAAAAAGCTATGTTTGTTCATTAACTTGATTGAGGTGCTGAAATATGTGTTTCATGGAATTAGTGTTTCAATTTACTATATGCAATTAATATCTATACAACAAAAGAAAATTTACCATTTGTAATTTTAGTTGTAAAATCGTGGAGTTTTTAACAGAAGTAGCTATTTGATTTGTAAGATGTCTTCGATTAGCAAAACTTCCTACAGATGATAACTGGGTGACACCACTTATATGTCCTGCATATAATTCAGTAATATGTGTTCTACAAAAATAAAGTTTAACATAAAACTTTTACATAAATTTTGAACATTGAATTGTTAAATCAATGATTTAAAATAACTTTGCTTTGCAATTCTCAACTTGCACAAAATTCTTTAGCATTTTTGCATCCAAGCAGAATTATCAATACTGTGATACAACCTAAAACATTGGAATTGTATAGTTAAATTATAAGTCAAAAAATTTGAAATTATTTTTGAAAATGTTTGAAACATTTTAAATTATTTTTAAAGTTGGTTACAAACAGTGGCTACAGACTACAGGTTGAGAATTGCTGATTAAGTACCAATAGCTATCTTACTTTGAAGAATCATTCAATGTACCATATGCCAATTTAACAGAAGAATGTTCCCTAATTTTTTTAAAACATACAATATTGTATTTTACTTGAATGGTATTTTGGTAATGCAGAACTACGAAAGATTCTGTAGATAATTGTGTAGTAACAACACCTATTTAAAGATTTCAATTATTACTTTGTAAAATAAATGTAAAAAAAAAAAGTTGCAGAACAAAAAAAAAAAAAGATTGTGGGACTTACTTTCGTACAATGAACTGCGCAAGTTTTTAGCAATGGTTGGTTCACCAACATTTGATAAAACTCCTTCTTCTTTAATAAACAATTTCTCATCATAAATACTGCTTTTCAAAGATATGTGATCCTTCAGATTAATAGAATTGAGAAAATTTAACTTAGATGAATAGAAGTAAATATCATTTAAAATAAACTTTTTAAATTGTTGATTTTATGGTAAATATTTAATGTGAAAAGGAACTACATTGATCAGAAATAAACTAAAGTATACAAACTGGTAACTTATAAAACAACCAGTTTTTTTTATCAAGGAATTTTAAGCTAAGTAATCATCGGATTGTTATATTCAACAATACTGCATTTGTTAAAGAATTAATTTTCTAGAGTTTTAAAGAATTAATTTTCTTGAGTTTTCATACTTTACACATTATAATAGATAGCCTTTGCATTCATATACATGTAATTATTTCTGCTTCTTAGTTTGGTTTTATCTTTATTTTAGTTTCACTTATCAAAAACAGTTTCAATATTATCATATCAATATTTTAAAATCATATCTAATATATTGTAAAAAGCCAAATATATTGTATTAATACCAAAGTTACTCTCAAGATACTATTCAATATTTTGTTCTCTTGTTCTTAAAAGTCTTTAAGGTATATAGTTATTTGTTAAAAAAAAAAAAAATTTAATTGATACAAGCTATTTACTATATTCAAAATGTTAAAATTCATGAGCTTTTTATCTCAAATATATATAACAAATACATATTTTTTGCAAACATCTAGCTTAATAACTTTTCAGTAACTATCCTCATTCTTTATACCTATCAATAATTAAACAAATAAAAATTACCGATGCAAGTTTCTCAAGAGCAGAAATAGTAACAATGGGTGAAATAATGCTATTAATTTCAAAACTACAATCAATGTTTTCCTAAAACAAACAAATCCAAAACATTTAATATAAAACTTTTTGTAAAACAATGGAAGTTTTTGTTTAAAAAAAAACAACAACAAAAATATTACTCTGTTATATCTTTCAACTTGCTGTGCAAATCTATTTCTATAACTAAACCACTGTAATTTTTCACAACAGTAATTTATACAAAAATCCATAAAGTTTGATGATTTTCCTACCAATGATTGATCCTGTAAACCTGGCATATCTAAAACATTAATTTTTGACACAACTCGATTATATGTGTTGAGCGCACGATTAATCATTCGAAATAAAGCATTAAATGATTCAACATAAAGTCCGTAACAAAAAGCCTCAAGTGCATAAAGCAAAGTGTCATATGTTGAATTATCTGAAAAAGATGTTGAACTGCTAAGAGAAGCAAAATTATCAGCACCACTGTTTCTTTTTACAAAAGAGGGGTGTTGTTGCATTGGTAGTATAAATATTATTTTTTCAAGATTCTCCACTGTAGTTCCAAGTACCGAAGCTGCACGCAATGCAGATGCGCTATCCGAAAAATAGAAATTTGTATCGGAAACTAAAAGTAATAAAACAGCTATAAAAATTTAATTAGCAAGTTAAAAAACTAAAAACTATAAAGTAAAAATAATAATAAAAACAATTTTTTGTTTGAAAAAAAAAGAATACAGAACAACAAATATACATTTAAAAAATATTGAATTTACTAGCTTTATTAGATTTTTTAAAATGTAATAAGTTTTAGGTTGAGTTGTATTTTACATAAACAAAAATAGAAAAAACATCGTAAAATTAAATATTGCATTGACAAAGTGTATTTAAAATTAAATATCGCTTTAATAAGTATGTAATTACACGATGATTAAAAAAAAAGCAAAAAACTATTTATTCATTGTTACATTTTGGTGAGCATTGTTAAGGTAAAAAAATTGACATTTTTTTTTATTAAGTTGTGACAATTATTTTTAAATAAACTTGAAAAAAGTTCAAATAAACAGTGTAAGAACTTCATTTCAAAAAATCTTTTAAAAAAATAACAACAATAAAGAACTAAAAAGTGTTAGTAGTTTTTAAAAAGCTTTATAATTTTGATTAAAAATTTTTTAAAAATAAAATATAATTTTTTATAAAGTTTTAACACAATATTTTTATAGTTGCAATTTTAACTAAGAATCTAAAATATGACTTAATCTAAGTGAAAATAATAAATACACACTTATTTAAGGCAAGCAATCTATCATTTAAAATAAAAAAACATTAAAGTTTTTAAACAGTTATTTAGTGTTCTATATTAGGGGTATTCAAAAGTTAGGTCATGGAAAAAATTTCACAACAAATAGGAAATTTTTTTTGCGGACTAAAAGAATACTAAAGAATTAATTACTAAAGAATTGAAAAACTGTTTGTTTGTTTTTTTGATTATTTTTTTACCTCGCGCTGGCCTTATCAAGTTTTCAAAAAAAACTTTTTTCTTATAAATTGCATAATATATCGAGAAAAAAATGAAAAAAAACAACTGGATACTATTTTAACAAATGAAATATATAACAAATGTTATATAAAAGATATATACAAAAAACTATCATTGTAGGTTAATTTCCATGCTTTGCGCTAGACCTATAATTATTATTTTACCTGTTGACCTATAAGAATTATTTTACCCGTTGACCTATAAGAATTATTTTACCCGTTGAAACCAATCAATCAATAAAATCCATGTTTTTCTGGTGGTGGGTTTTCTATTGTAGATAGAACTCTAATTTTTTTTAACGATTAATGAAAAAATTTTAATGATAAAATATTTTTTTCTGGTTAAACACGTTTCTGTTTTCTTGCTGATATTGCGGAAATCTTAAAGTCTTAAAAATTAACAATAGATTTGTTTAGAAATAATAAAGACCCTGTAGAGAGTTGTCACTGAATTTTAATATAAACAGCAAATATTTTTCTATGATTTAGCTACTTCTTACTATTTTCTTTGTTTAGTTGTTATAGTATTTGTAAAAACTTTTTTGAATCAAATGGCAATTATGTAAGATATTCAATTTAAAACCATAATTTAAATAATAACTACTTTAAAAAACTAGCGATGTATTTTAACAACCCTTTGTTTTTTAAACAAAATGGTATGTACCACAGTAACAGAGCAGTGTCAAAATGAATGCATTTTAGGATCCCTCATGTTTACGTGACTTAGATCTGGATTCCCAGTTATCAGGCTAGTAGGCATGAATATTAAATCATATATCACAAAGTATATGAATCTGAAGAAGGCACAGCACAAGACAAGCCAAGGATTGGTCACTTCCAGGAAAGAGTTTATTGCTTCATTAAGAGGTAAGTATAATTTCCATAAACTAACACAAATTATTACAAATGACTGACTGGATTTGAATATATTATTCTAGAATTTCTTACTGATTATAACAAAAGAGAAATTGTAATTTTATTATATAAACTAACTTAACTTACTTTTATAGGAGTATTTTGAACACTGACCACAAGACACTCATTAAAGCTTTTAAGATGGATAAGTTCGTATTCAAGGAAAACACAGCAAATGACATTGCCTTAATTAGAGATCAGATAACAGATTGCAAGATGTGTATCAAAGATCTGGACAAAGCCAGAGATGACTATTCAAAGCAAAAAGAAAAAAGAGATCTGGATAAGAGAGATCTGGAAAAGAGAGATATGGAAAGAGTGACTAATAGAATACCTTCTATTGTAGATGGTCAGGATTCTGTACTTAAGATTTACCTAACCGTAGACGTATACTTAAGATGTACTGTTCATAAATATAGATTTTTCTATATTTATGAATGGTAATATACTCAGTGAGTCATCTACCCTTTGTCTTCTAGGATTAAATCTTACTTCAGATTATATTTTGGAAACCATATTTCAAATCCATTGCAAAATTAGCATCTGCTATTGTTGCATCTCTTTATCATGCTTGCCACTTTCATGCCCTTTCTCTTTTAGACAAAGTGAAAAATGATTTGTAAACATAGTTGAACTTGCTCTTGAAACCAATCTTTAACTATTATCACATGGTTGTAATGCTGCTTCTCATTCTCTTTTTTGTAAACACCATAATGGACATTGCTCTAAAGAGCTAGTGCCTCTTGTACCACCTACATCTCTGTGCCAAAATTCATTTCCTTATTACTTTTCATTCAAATAAGTCTCAACCTTTCACTGTAACTGTTCCTAGTGCTCCACAAATCTTTTTTTGTCTAGTTTTTTTCCTCGAACATCAGTTCTTTGAAAATTTTTTTCTTCCATCTTGTTTTCCTGATTCATATAATTTGCAATCTTTAAAGTTGTTTATTAATCTTGCTTTATAAATTTCATCTTTTCTTTATTTTTTTTAAATTATATATATATATATATATATATATATATATATATATATATATATATATATATATATATATATATATATATATATATATATATATATATATATATATATATATATATATATGTATATATATATATCTATATATTAGGGTGGAGTTTATTTTTGAACTTTTGAAATATGATCTTCTTACCCTCTCATTTTGTTCCTATATATGAAAAAATAATTCAGGCAAAATATGAGAACAATTAAACAATATTTAGGGGTAGCTCAATGATAATAAAGTTTCGGATAATCGACAGCTGCGGTTTGGCTACACTTGATTTTTACATAATATTATTACTTATACCAGAATAATTTTCATATGTTAAATTAAGAACTTAATTTTAACTACAAAGCTAAATTGCACTGTCCTAAATCATCATATACTCCACAACTATGGTCTATACTATCATATTTGATCATTGACCAACCAATGCAATCATGGCAAATGGAAATAACCCAGATTCAATTTTTTGCTGACTGTGTAATTTTTACATAAATCAAAACATAATCCCAGACAGACAGGATCACTAGCTAGACAGACTTGTTTACTGCAATGCTGAGTTGCTGACTAAGCAACACTGTTAAAGCTGTATGCTTATTTTGTTTACTAAATAGAGGCATTATTTTAGTTATTAAAATATAAATGGCAATTTAAGTTGAAATATTGTTTAAATAAATTTTCTTGATTTTCAAATTTAAAGAAGATTTCTATAATTTTGGTGTTAACTTTCTTCTCTCCAGTACCTGATTCTCATCAATTGGTAAATTAAAAGATTGATATATTAAAATACCTTAACTCTTTGTGTCTTGTGAGTGTAAAATTGTAAATAGTAAATATATTAATAATTAATTAATTCTATATTATAATATGGACATTAAACTGATAATGCTGATGAATGTGATAATGATGATGAGATAAATAAATGAACATAAATTATATGTAATATACAATATATTTTTAAAAATAATTAAATAAACCATACAATACATGTTAAAATTTCTGACTTCAAATGGTCAAATTTTTCCAATGCATTTTTTATATTTATTTCAGATAAATATTCAATTCTGAATTATTGAAAATGTCATCTCAGTCAAAATTAACCAGATCTCAAACTAAGTTGTATCTACTTGGCAAATGGAGCAAATGAACCAGCTAGCCATTTCTACAGCTGAACTGAAATCATCTAGTTCTGAATCTGAAAACAGTACAGCAGAGGATGTTGAAGAGACTGAAACTAGTGACAATGCAGATGAGGGAGCTGTTGGTGGCACCACTTTTCAGACACCTAAAAAAAAGAGGGGACGAAAAACTGTTGTTACTCCAGAACTTGCTGCAGCTCTAGATCCAACAAAAATGTCAGACCGCAAGGCTGTTTTTGTTATAGCAAAAGCTGCCAAAAGCTTAGGACAGAATATCAATGAATTTGCTCTTAACAGAGACTCAATTCGCCAACACAGATTGGAACACAGAGTCCAGAGATCTGCAAATATAAAAGCCGAGTTTCGGGATAACGTTCCCCTTGTTGTTCACTGGGACGGCAAACTGATTCCTGGTCTACTTGGAAAAGAGAAAGTTGATGGCCTGCCCGTATTGGTTTCAGGAAAAGGAGTCTCTCAGCTACTCACAGTTGCCAAGCTTCCTTCTGGAACAGGCGAGGCACAGGCTGCTGCCGTCTTTGGAGCCATTGAAAACTGGGGCATAGCTGACAGCATCAGTGCAATGTGTTTTGACACGACCAGCTCAAATACTGGTCGGCTTGCTGGTGCCTGTGTCCTCCTAGAACAGAAACTTGAGAAAGAGCTCTTATCACTGGCTTGTAGGCATCACATTATGGAACTGATAATTGGTACAGTGTTCCAAGTGTGTATGAGAGCAACATCTTGACCAGAAGTTCCGCTATTAAAACGTTTCCAGCAATACTGGGGTTTCATAGACACGGCTAATTATGAGCCAGAGATTGCAACTAATGATGTCAAACATCTCGTGGCTGACATAAAGCAAGACACTATCGATTATGCAAACAAGCATCTTGAACAGAGTCAGTTGAGGGATGATTATAAAGAATTCTTGGAACTTGTGATTATTTTTCTTGGTGCTGCTCCTGCCAGAGGTGTGCGATTCATGTCACCTGGAGCAATGCACCATGCCCGCTGGATGTCCAAAGTCATATACAGTCTCAAGATCTGGATGTTTAAGGCTCAATTTAAATTGACTCCTGCTGAAGTGGGAGGATTACGGACGTGTGTGTATTCACAGTACGTGTCTACCTGAAAGCCTGGATATCTGCACCTCAAGCATCAGGTGCTCCTTATAATGATCTGCTGCTGCTGAAGTCACTGATTGAATATTCATCAATCCATTCAGCGATCTCGAAGTCAACATCACGCAAGTTTTCCAATCACTTTTGGTATTTGTCACAGGAACTTGTTAGCTTGGCTTTCTTCGACAGTCGGGTCAGTTCATCAACCAAGAAACTGATGGTGAGTGCAATGCAAAATGAAGAAGACCAAGATCAGGATCATTCGAAGCGTATCACTGTTGATCTTGATTCATTGGGGAACAAGAACTTAGAAGATTTTGTCACAGCAAAGTCAATGAATCTGCTCCGAATGATGGAAATGCCATATGGATTTCTAACAGTTGATCCGGACTTGTGGGAAGACAGAGATGACTACAAGTTGGCTGCAGAAACAGTCGAGTCTTTAAAAGTTGTAAATGACCACGCTGAACGTGGAGTGGCCCTCATTCAAGAATACAGCGGATTTTTAACACGCGATGAAACGCAGCTGCAATTCCTGCTGCAAGTTGTAGAAGACCATCGCAGAATGTACCCTGATAGCAGGAAACAAACTCTGTCTGGGCTGCCGAAACCATGAATTTAAAACAATAATTCCTGAGTTTGCTCTGGACATTGTCGGGCTGATACCCTAAACTGTAAAAACTGAGCTTAGAACTCATATTTAATGTGTTTAAAAATGTTAATTGTGTTGTTTAAAATATAGAGATTAGACTTGTTTCTCGTATAATTTTTGTAATATTGGAGGCACTTGAGCTACCCCTAAAAACAATTATTTTTTAGCCAAACTTTTTATGCAGTGTTTCTATGTTATATGGAACAGATTTATATATATATATATATATATATATATATATATATATATATATATATATATATATATATATATATATATATATATATACATATATATATATATATATATATATATATATATATATATATATATATATATATATATATATATATATATATATATATATATATATATATATATATATATATACACACAATTTAGACCCTTTAAAGTTTCAAAAAGAATTTAGCATAAAACAAAACCAAAAACATAAAACATTAAACCAAGTAAAAACATTTAAACAAACAAATCCCAAGAAGTAAATATACAAAATCAAAATAATAAAATAAAATATACAAGATCAAAAATTATTAAAAGTATAATTAGCATAATTAGTATACATTGCATTCAAAATAAATATTAATCCTTTGAAACTTTTAGTTACATTTTATAGAAGGACTTTTTTAATTACCATTTGAAATCCCTGCTGCACCAAGATGTAAAATGGCAGCTAGAGGTGCAAATATTCCCAAAATTTCATTTTCTGAAAAATTTAAAATTTCAAATAAACTGTACAAGTAATTCCAATCTTCTAAATGCTCTGGGCCTCCAGTAAGCTAAGATAAAATAAATTCAAATTATTTTAATCTTATAATCATATAATAAAACATATAACTCTAAATATATATTATTAAATAATATATATTTATAGTTAAATTAATTATGAAGTTTAATTATTAGATAAAAAGATATATTTATATAATATATATATATATATATATATATATGTATATATATATATATATATATATATATATATATATATATATATATATATATATATATATATATATATATATACTCTATAAAATATATACATACTGCTGGTTTTAATATACATATTTGCATACTGGTTATGATACACATTTTATTGTTTGCTTACATTAATCAATAAGTTTGATGATTTAGGTAGAGCATCAAGTAACAAATCAGCTTTCAACTTTCCTTTACAATTAAAAAGTAGATGGTAAAATATATTATAAGTCGAGCCTTCTGTTGAAAAGAAAGATTTTCCAAGAAACATATTCTATTGGAAAAATAACAACAATTTTTTTTTTCTTTGAAAAAATTAAACACAGTTTAAAATAAAAGAATAAAAAAAAAACCTGCAAGTTGCATCCAATCATAAAACCAGAAGAGTTGAATTCAAAAGTTATTAAATATCGAATAGTTGTAGCATTTGATGACAAATCTGTCTTAACACATCCAAATTTGTCAATAAGGAACATGGCTGCTTCTACTTTAGAAACTAAACAAAAATATTTAAATATAATATAACTTATGCACACACACACGCACACAAAATTTAAAAGAGCATCAAAAAAAAGTTTAATGCATATTACTCCTATCACATATGCAAGTAGAAATAGTACACATTAGTCTTTATACTAACAAATAATAGTCACTGAAATAATTATAATAAATAAAAAGTAATTTTAATGAAATTACTCTTATCTTTTTGTAAATACTTTGTTTAAACCATTTTTTATCTTTATAAGCGAAAAATTTATTTGTTTAGATCAGTGTTAAAAAAAGTTTCAACTAATGTGGATAATAATGTGACTTAAAATACAGTTAATTAATTTATTCAACTTCTATAAAACAATAACTGATATTGTTTACAAGTATTATTTTAAAGTAATTGATAATCTGCAAAAATATGAATTACATGACATTATAAACAAAACTATCAAACAAAAAGCGAACTTTTTTTAATAAAATATATTAAGAAATCATAAAACCCCTGATGACCTTTTTAAAGACAATTGTTCAATTGAAAATATTATAATAAATATATACATAACATTGTCAAATTGAAAATGTAATTTAAACTATCAACTTCCACAGTTAATGTGTAATAACACATTAACTTGCAGTTAAATTTTCAAGTTGACAATATGGTCTTTAAAAATATATACTTTATAAAAAAACAGTCTAGTTTTATTTATTATGTCATGCAGTTCACATTTTTGCAGATCAGTTACTTTAAATAATACTTCTAAACAATATCAATGACTGCTTTATAGAAGTTGAATAAATTAATTAACTGTATTTTTAGTAACATTAACATCAACATTAGTTAAAACTTTTTTTAACAATTTTCTCCTATAAAGTTAAAAAATGATTCAAACAAAGTACTTACAAAAAGATGAAAATAAATAATTTCATTATTATTTAAACTACATATTTATATTTCATCAAATCTGTAGTATCGTAAATTTCATTTATTTTAAATTATTTTAGAGACTTTGTTGTTGTATATTGTTGTTGTTAGTATATGTGCATTATTTCTTGAACTAGAAAAAAAAATAAAACAGAACAAGAATGTTTTTAAACAACAACAGAAAAACTTAATTCAAGAATATAAATGGGAACCATTGATTTAACCATAAAGTGAAACTAAAGATGTGTAAAAAATGAAGATATAACTTATATATATGCATCAACAAAATGAATTAAAAGTTTCTTATCATAAACAAAAATATTTTAGATGTGTTTTCAAAATATTTCAGTCTAAAATAATTTAGATGTTATGAATATTTATTTGTAACATTTAATAATTATTCATAACATTTATTCTATAATACATCAGATTGTTTGTAAAAAATTATTTTGTAAAAACTCAGATATTTTTAACTGGTCACTTTAACCTTGATTGGCAAAAATTTATTTCGAGAGGTCAGAGCAGCAAGTTTGATTATTGCAGGTGGTCGTTGACCATTATTTTGTGCATTGTATTATGTATAAAACACTCTTAAAAAAGTCTAAATACTAAATAATCAAGTAAAAAAATTAATTTTTATTTAAAAAATATTCAAGAGAGATCTGGAGCCAATAAATGCACAAGGACAAACAAATTGCATTCTGTTGCCATATTCCTTACAGCTCCAAATTTAACAATCCTATTTGGATCATATATGGATGAGATAGGTTTCTTTCATATTTTGAGATAACTGAGTGTGTGAATTTTTTTAAAAACATTTTGGGTAATCAAAGAAAAGCATATTTTTGAATACATATTTTGATACCACAGTTTGGTTAAAATATCATAAAATGAACTCTTTTTTTTAATGCTCTTTTAAATGATAGATGTATATTAACTACACTCAAGGATTCTTGTAAAATTATTTTGATATTATACAATTTTTTGTGGATATTGTGCAGTGTTTTTGGGATATTATGAAATTTGTCAAGGATATTATATAATAATAGTATTATTACATAATTATAAACATAATAATGTTTTATAAATATTGTGCGAAGTAATTATGTTTTGCAATATTTTGTGGTTATTAGGAATTATAATATCATGTGACATTTGGTCAATACTGCACTATGTTGTTAATACTACGCAATGTCTTCTTGATATTATGATATGCTCCATTGTTTGCAATCAAGTTAAATTCAACAAGTAAGTAAATGCATCTGTAAAATAACAAAATGCAGCTTAATGTTCTTACCTGTTAACAAACTTCCTTTTAAAATTGTTTTACATAAATACTTCACAACATTATTGACATTAAAACTTTTTCCTGAACCAGCACTTCCCCAAAACAAAATAGACTGGTTTGTATTTGTAGCCACCATACTCCGGTATGCAGATTGTGCAACGCTGAAAATATGAGGTGGCATTGCTTCTTGCTTACAGTCATGGATCATTTGCATGAACTACAAATTTTTTCAATTAAAGACAATATTTTATATGCGAAACAAGTTAATTAAATTAAATCAAATTGTTATTTATTATTTATTACAAATAACTTTTTTGAATCAAAACATAAATTCAAAATATAAATAGCATAATATAAAAATATAAAGATGAAACTGGTATTTATATTAATTTTTTATATATGGTTGCACACAACACCGAGTATTGCTGTAACTGCTAATTAAAACACTCTGTTCCAACCTTCCAACAAGTTTTTAATTTTTAAAGAAAAGTCTCAAACTGTTTTTTAAGGTCTCTTGAAAATAGGAGCAGTTTACTTTGCTCACATTTTTTTAATCAGACCATCTTACCTGGTCCCTTGGAAACTTAAGTTTAAATGTAGTCTATATATTTTTTTGTTTATAGTTTCCTATTTAGTTTATTTAAACATGCTAAAACCATCTTAGTGTTAAACTTTAGATTTAGAATAATGATTGTATGTAAGTACAAAAGATTCTTTTTTTTTTCTATAAGTATATTTGTCAATTTTCTGAAAGTACTAAAATTAAGTCCATCATAATCACAAATTGCAATTGTGATTGAAACTTAATTGAAATTAAAATGATTTTTTGTAATGACTTTTTAAAAACAGTTTTAATAAATCTGCAATATACAGTAAAATCCCATTAACTCGGACAAATTTTCAATTATCCTTGAATTCTCTATGCATACCAATTACTTCGCTTAACTCCGACATTAGCTAAGTCGGACAAAATATATATACCCATTCAGAAAAAAAACTCGATCTTTTCCAAAGTCTATTAAGTAAAAAATAAAATTTTTTACTTAATAGAGTTTATTTTTTTTTATTTTCTAATTTGTTAAGATTTATTTGTTTTTTCTCTTTTTTTTTTTTTTTTTCAATTTTAAATTAGTTTATTTTGGGTTTTATGGTGCATGGTGCACAAATTCATCAAAACACTCAAAGAGCCATGACCTAGTTATCAAAACAAAATATTATACGTGTTCAGATAAGACAAGCGAACGCACGCCCTTCCTTAGAATGCTTAAAACTTTTTAAAACAATAAGTATACATTGTTTAAATTTTGTTATTTTTATTATACATTTTTTTATCAATATATATATATATATATATATATATATATATATATATATATATATATATATATATATATATATATATATATATATATATATATATATATATATATATATATATATATATATATATATATATATATATATATATATATATATATGTATGTATATATATATATATATATATATATATATATATATATATATATATATATATATATATATATATATATATATATATATATATATGATATATATATATATATATATATATATATATATATATATATATATATATATATATATATATATATATATATATGTATATACAATAATAATAATAATAATAATAATAATAATAATAATAATAATAATAATAATAATAATAATAATAACAACAATAATAATAATAATAACAATAAAATCAAAAATAATAATAAAATTTCACCTTGTCTGAGTAATGATCAATTTTTTCTTTTGGCTTTATAATAATTAAACTGTTATCAGCAAATGTATGAATTAACTTTGCTGCATATCTTTGTTGGAGTGTATGTAAACAACTAGACTCATTTAAATATTGTAATGAAGACAGTTTTTCACATTGGTTAAAAAAGACAGGGTTCATCTAAAAAAAAAAAGAAAAAATTTTAAAAAGTACCAAAAAATTAAGTTAAAATTTAAAATCAATTTCACAATTTATTTCAAAATTTTTTTGTTGAGACTTATAGTAGTATATTGAAGAAGAAATAATAAATTGAACTAAATTATCATCCTATTTTTTTTGTCCTATTCAGTTTAATTCTATCATTAGTTGCATAGCTTCAAAACCATAATTGTATGCAACATGTATATAAACTGTGCATAACATGTGTAAAATATGTGGCACAAAGTTGTTAACAATTATTACAACATACTGATTTGTAGCAACAATAGAGTTTCATGACTGGTGGCAATTATCAGCCATATATTTTTAAATGATGTCAAAAAATCAATTAGATGTTTTCATGTTTTGACACAGGGTAAAGTCTAACTTTACCCTGTGTCAAATTGACAAAGAAGGAAATTTATTTCTATGTCAACATTTATAACTTCAGTTTTTTTATTTAATAAACTGTTGTCATTGATTGTAACAATTTCATATTTTTCATGAAGGCATAACTTGTAGGATTTTGATGTCAGGTTATAGGCTTCACATCTTTTAATAAATTATTTTCCAACTAACCACTGGATTTTTATTATTATCTTTAAGTTCCAAACTTCTTTTTACAGTTCTGTATCACTTTTATATTTGGGGATATTAAATGATTTTAAGTGGTTGGCATATCTCAGTTTAGAAGGGGTTTCTTTTTTTTATTTATAAATTTTTTTGTATTTTATATATATATATATATATATATATATATATATATATATATATATATATATATATATATATATATATATATATATATATATATATATATATATATATATATATATATATATATATATATATATATATATATATATATATTAAAATATATATTTTAATATATATATATATATATATATTAAAATATATATTAAATATATATATATATATATATATATATATAAATATATATATATATATATATATATATAATACAAAAAAATTTATAAATAAAAAAAAGAAACCCCTTCTAAACTGAGATATGCCAACCATTTAAAATCATTTAATATCCCCAAATATAAAAGTGAAAAAAAAAGTGTAATATATATATATATATATATATATATATATATATATATATATATATATATATATATATATATATATATATATATATATATATATATATATATATATATTAAAATATATATATATAAAATTGACTATATTTTAATTAAAACTGTTTTAATGTCTTTTACTAATATTTGTGGTTGAATTTTACCTCTTTAAATTTTATTTGTGGTTGAATCTTAACTAATTTAAATTCTGCTATTCCTTCTTCTGATCTCAGTGTTGATGGGTACTATCCTTTGATTTGCAAAGACTCCAATAGTCACATGCTTGGCTTAGGGGTATACATACACATCAATAAACTTATTTGTCCTGAAATCAGGTTTCTTTCTCAGCTGAAAAATGGGCCTTCTATGTAACCTTCTGGATTTAGGCAAATGAAAGCTTTTGTTCCTTCTCATTGGTTCCATGTCAAACCTCATTCTACTCCATGGTTTTCACCCTCTTGTGCAACTGCTATATCTAATTGTAATCATTTTTTTCATCTTTTTCAAAAGAACAACTCTCTTGAGAACAAACGGCTATTTATTATTGCAAAAAACCGATGTAAAAAGATGCTGTCAGATGCTAAGCTACATTATTCTCAGTTTACTAAATCTCGTATCTTATCTCAGAAGTTAGGCTCAGAGACTTTTGGAAGACCTTCAACAGCGTCGTTAACAAAGGTAGGTCTAACATTTCATCTCTAATTTATAGAACTGATTTATTACCTTTCCCAAGGGATTGGGTAATAAATCAGTTCCATGATCAATCTCTTAACATATCTAAGGCTTTCAACAAAGTTCAGCAAGCTGGTCTTCTCCATGAGCTTGTTTTATATGGTGTATCTGGGTAAATTTTTAAGATTATGAAATCGTTTCTTTCTAACTGCTTTATTAAAGTCATCCGTGAAGGCCAACACTTTTCTTTATTTCCAGTAACTTATGGAGTATCTCAAGGTTCTATCCTTGGCCCTGTTTTGTTTCTTATCTACATTAATGATCAACCTAACAACATCTAAAGTAACTCCTTTTGCTGATGGCTCAACATTATACTCCTTTCTTGACAAAAAGTCTTCTCTTTTTGATTACTCAGAACAGGCAGCCAATCTTGAATCTGATCTGACTTCTGTAACAGATTGGGGCTCACAGTGGCTTGTAAATTTTAACTCCAACAAAACTCAGTTATTTACGCAAAAAATCGCGGTACTGTTGACATTCCTATATTAATGAATGGCAACCCTCTCACTGAGTCTTCTTCTTTACATCTTCTTGGGTTATCGTTTACTACTGACCATTCATGGAAATCATATATACAATCGATTGCTAAATCAGCATCTGCTAAGGTTTCTCACCATTTTCTCTGCTAAGGTTTCTCACCATTTTCTGCTAAGGTTTGCTCACCATTTTCTCTCTCCATTCAATATCTCTACAAATCTCTCATTTGTCATCATGTTTTCCTGACTCATACGACCTTTAACTTTTTAAGTCTTCTATCAACTGTTTCCTTGCTATATAACTCTATTCTTTTTTCTAGTAACTCTTAACTTAATAATGGTTGCTTGAAGCCATGTTAAGAATGAACCAGTATAAAAAAAACAACTGATTATGTTAAATTGCAAATATCAATATATCAATACGACATGAACTTCAAATGCCGATGTATCAATATAACATGAATTTCAAATATTATTATATCAATAATCAGAATATTATCAAAAATTATCAAAATTATTTCCAACTTTAAATTAATGCAGCTTATTAAAATATAAATGTGTTTTCTTAAAATTTAACTATAGTTACCTGTTCTATAAGATTTTCGTCAATATCAACTATTTCAGTCCCATCATTCAACTGAACGCAGTACTTTTTTAATCCATTGGAAACATTTGTCTCTTTATAAACCTGACCTGCTGAATAACCATTATCATGAACTAACCATACCATTTCACCATTTAACAAGCTCTCTGATAAAGGTTCTTTAACGGATATATTTATCTAAAAAACATTTTTACTTTTTATTTATATTATTTTTTTATTTATATCATTAATATTTGTATTATTAATATTTGTATCATTAATATTTAGGTCATTAAAATATCTTAGAACTAACAAAAATTTATTTTTTATTGTATACCTATGCCATCTGTCAACTACAATGATGATTAAAGAAAAATAAATGTTATTAAAAAAACTTAAAAATTTGAAAACTGTACCTTAAATTCTGCAAAAGAGCATAATGTGTTTTGCAAGCATATTAGACTCAATATTTTTCTTAATCCGAAATTTTGCTTCAACTATGTTTAAACTTTTTCTAATAAGTGTCCTAAAAAGCTTTGTTTTTTCTTTAAGCAACTATAAAATTTTATTCTGAATTCCAGTTGGTAAACAATTTAACAAAAAAATTTACTTTTTATTATGTTACATGTTTTAGTTATACTATTTGTCTTGTTATTTTCTGATTCTGTTTACTGTACATACACTTTATCGCAAATCATAAAATGTTTTCTAACCTTGTGATAAAAATAAAAGAGTGATTAACCAGTGCCATTTCTAGGTACTTTGGAAACTTAGGTAAAATTAAAGATACAGCCACTTTATCTATGCTATTATCAATCTTGATGCTTATCATCTAGACTAGAAAAATTTTCTTTTAAATTTATGTCTGCCAAATAAAACAATAAAATATTTGATATGTTTAAATCCACTGCATATTGGTTAATATGTACACATTAAATAAATATCATTTAATAAAATGTAACCAAAACACAACAATTAATTATTGTACTTTGGTTATATTTTACTATTTAAATGTTACATTGTCTAATTACATTCTTTAAGAAGATCTTTAGTTTTAAGTAAATTTAGTCTTTTTTAACAGAAATGGTAGGTAGTCCCACAAATCTTTCCTGGATCATAATACTGTGTAGGTTGTTATTGATTTATATAACACTACATAACAAATATGAAAAAAATAAATTTTTAATTTTCACTACCACCCTGCAACTAACATGCAAACATTAACATGGTCCTGCACTTCATTATAAAATATTTAAATTACGTTTAAATTACATTATTATTTGTTTTTTTGTTTTAGTTTAATTAATTAAAATTGAAAATAAAAATGGCTACTGTTAAAACTCAAAGTGAAACTGAATATGGTATTCTTGGACAACTTAGAACACTCCAAAAACTGAAACTGCTAACTTTTGCAGATGTTTTCAATGCATATGACTATTAAAAAATGACAATTGCACAAGTGTTACCCCAACAGTCATAGCAATTGAAATTAAAGCACTGAACAACAAAGCAAGTATTTCTAACATTTAAGTCAGCAGCTTAGTTATTTGCATAAAAAACTTAAATAACAAAGTACATGATCTTGGTAAATACTCTGATGGCAAGAAGTCCTCTGAGACATTTAAATCAAGTTTACAGATGTTAGACCTTTCAATATTTGTTTGTGTAAGTATTTTAATAATGGTGTTCAAGAAAGTTCAGTTTGTTCGAAAAAAAATTCCAACACTTGAATGAAAATTCTGGATAGATTAAAAAAAGATACAAAAGATGGTAATAGGAAAAATAGACAAAGAAGAAACAATTAAGATACAGAAGAGAGAAAGAAGAGGAAGTAAAACAAATTTACTGATTACAGATAAGAAATTGAAATTTGATAATGAAATTGATCCAAAGCAAAACATATTGCAGTGATAAGAACAGTCTGAGTCAGATGAAGAATTTTTGCCAAATGTCAGATGATGAAGTGATGTCAAGTGATAATAAGATGTCAAGTAATGAAGAGATCAAAGTTTACAACACTAAACAATATCTTGAACTAGATAAGACCAATAATAGGTGTAAAATCAGTAACAAGGATGCTTGACTAATAGCAAATGGCATTGTAAAAGATTTAGAAGTAATTTGCATTGGACCTGATGGGAAGTAGGATACCACTTCTGATAAAACAAGTGGCATCCAACACAATTTCAAAAAAGAAATTATGTGATAGTGTTATTTCTGCAAAACAAATATGTCAGTCATGATATGCCACAAAGTAGTAGCTAATATTGCGAGCTAATATTACAAGAGATATTTTTGAGCATCAATAACATCAAATCAGCAGCAGCAGCAGCTTAGTAGCAGTTGTTTGTGATGATGCTGTGAATAACACAGGTCAACACCTGGACCTGGACTATCTGCTAAGCTTGAACCTCTTTCCCATCCTCGTAAAGTTGCATCTCTTTCTCTTTCCTACAAATACTACCATGGTCACTGCTCAAAGGAGTTATTATCTCTAGTTCCATCAACTAAAATTCATTCTCGTTTTACTCGTCATTTAACTAAGTCTCATTCGTTTACTGTATCTGTCCCTGCATGCTCTAAAAACTTTTATTCATCTAGTTTTTTTCCCCCCACTTCAATCCCTTGGAACTCTCTCCCATCTTCATGTTTTCCTGACTCATACAACCTTCAACTTTTCAAGTCTTCTGTCAACCGTTTCCTTGCTTTATAACTCTGTTCTTTTTTTTCCAAGTAACTCCCAACTTAATAGTGGTTGCTTGCAGCCTTGTTGGAAGTGAATGCAAATAAAAAAAAAATAAAAATAAAAAAAAAAAACACAATAAAGTAATCAGAAACTTAGAAGGTCTTGAGAGAACATTGCAATGGCTGGTCTGCTTATTACATGCAAATTAACTACTTAAATACTTCTCATTCTGGACAGTGGACATTCAACAGGTCGAGCTACTTTAACAGGTAAAATAGGCATTGCACTATATTTTGGTCCAAAAGATTTAGTTATTGTGAACTTTAAACATATACCTGGTAAAGTTGAGGATGTAAGTGTTGATTTTAAAAAAGATTTAAACTCTGATCAAATGGACCTTCTCAAAGCTTGCTTAGTTACTCATCAAGGATAACTGCTTGTGATCAAATATTGTTTATCCAGACTGCTATGCCAGTAAATCTACGCCATGCAAGGTGGATAACTATGGGCAATCGTATTTTATGTTAGTAGATGTCTTAGAAAAATCTTTCAAACCCATTGCATAGAATTACAAGATTGATCATAAATGTTGATCCATCATCGTGGTTCAACATAAAGCATCATTCTTCCTACCTTGATGGAGGGAGAAATTTCTTATATCTTATGAAACAGTGCTATGAACTAGCGGAAACTGGAAAAACCTTGAACCAGTGTTGCAAAATAACTGTCATTTTGCTCATCCTAAGCACATTCTTCTAGAAGGGGATTCAGCTGAAAAATGTATTAATTCCTTAGTTTTCGTGTGACAAAATAATTGATGCACAAGCTTGCAAAAAGTATCTAGCTACTAAGATACTTTGTGTGTTTGATAAATCAAGAATCGAACTTGATCCAGAAGCTTTGTTAATTCTAAAGATGTTCAACTGGTCTGTTGCAACATCACTGCCTTTTATATCAACTGTTTCTAATGATGATCTTCAACACCAGTTTCACATTGATGTCTTCAGTGGTTTTCATTCTCAGGTAGTTGAACATACTACTAAAGAGATCACAGCAACAACTATAAAAGCTTTTGGACACAAATCATGACATGGAATGATTTTGCAGTGTTTAAAAATCTCAAGCAAAATTATCAAAACTCAACTCTAAATCTGACTTCTTGAGTCATAACAAATATTTGCTATAACTGAAACAATTTGCTGTTATGTGTAGCCTACTACACTTTGACTTTTTTTTCTTCTAAAACTGTTTAGATTTTTAAATTTAATGTAACGAGATGTCAAGTAATGGAACAACAATTAAACCATGCGTATTTACATTATACGGTTATACAGTAATATTAATTAGCAAAGTTGTGGATAAAGAATATTTATTTAGACTATTTCTTATAACAAAAAATTAACTACCGAATTTAAAAAAAATAATAAAAAACAAAACAAAAAAGTATTAGCTAAAAAATAGTAAATGTCAAATTTTATTTTATTTTAGCGCCACTTTTGATATCTTAATTTTTTTTTTGTTTGTTTTGTTATAATGATTGATTTAATTTAAAAAATGAAAAAACATTAATTATTATTAATTTAAAAAAATAATATTTCAAGGGAGTTTAGATCCTTTTAGACCCTCGTTATCAAGAATAAATATACTTAATAATGTTAAATATGTTTAATAACAAAATTTAAACTCCCTTGATATAATGTATATTTAATAACAGAGTTCAGTGTTTCACAGGAAGATGTGCGACTGCACGCCATTATATGACCAGGCAAAAAATACTTTGTTTTGATGATTTGACCACGACGCTTGACATGTTTTCAAAATTTCAAAATGCATTAAAAACAAGGGTTTGGAGTCCCAAGAGGACTCCGACTTTTTCCAAGTCTGTAGTGTCCAGAAGCTCTAAACATGTTTGTTGACTTATGATCTGCTATAAGAAAAAAAACTCATGAGATTTAATGACTTGAAACTTATTGTTTTTAAGCCTGGAGCCCTGGAGTCACGGAGTCCTTGCCGCCATTATACCTAAGAACTCCAGGTTCAAAAAATGATTGTTTCTCTTGCCTAAAAGTCTTAATTTTTTTACTATAAGTAGCCCTTAAACTTATTTATATTTTTAGAGCTCCAGGATACTAAAAACTAGGAAGAAGTAATCTTTTTGTGACTTTCAAATCTGGAGTCTTTTTGGGAGTCTGCATCCCTGGTTAAAAAAACTTACTTAAACTTATTTTTAAAAAAATACTTTAAAAAAGAAAAAAAATCTTAACAAAAGAGAAAATAAAAAAAAATACTTAACTAAAGCGAAAATACAATATATAATTATAACCCAACTAAAAACAAAACTCAACAAACTAAAATACTTAGTTTATTTAAGTCATGTTTTTAATTACATTTGGAATAATTTTTTACCTTTATTAATTTTTAGAACATTAATAAGCAAAAGACAATTTACTTTTAATGATTGTTTTAAATATTTTACAACTTTATATATATATATATATATATATATATATATATATATATATATATATATATATATATATATATATATATATATATATATATATATATATATATATATATATATATATATATATTCCTATAGTTTGACATCTAAACTTACTAATTGTGGTAAAAAAAACCAGCTTAAAACTACTCTTTGACATATAACAAAACAAAATTAAGTGCAATTTATGTCAAAACCATTAAATTAAATTGAGGAAACTAATTAAATTTTCTAAATAAAAAATATTCTGTTTAATTTTTCTTATGGTTTACATCGACTGAGAAAAAGTGGCTTGTGGTCCAGACAACATTCCTGTCATAGTATTACAAAATTCTTTTCCAGAACTCTCTGCAATTCTCTAAACTATTTAATAAGTGCTTGACTGAGTCTTGTTTTCCTACCTGCTAGGGTAGGAAAACAAGACTCAGTCAAGCACTTTTTTCCTTTTTTCCTTTTCTTTTAGATCGCTTAGCAATCTAAAAGAGAAGGAAAAAAGAGAAAGTGGTGGATGGGTGGGTGTCTATGTGAGTGTTTATTTGCTTGCCAAGGTAAAATAAAAAATAACTAGATGTTTGCTACTAAAAGTTTCATGCATTAGCAATTATCTTTTAAAAATATGTTTTGTTAAAAAATTAGTTTTGATCAAATTGTTTTTTGTAATGTAGTTTATGTTGCTGCATATGATACTTTAAAACATTAGTGGAAACCACCCCTTTTTTCCCTTATTAGACAGGTCCCTAATATTATAGAAAAACTTCTTTAAAAGTTTGCCATGTTGGGTCTCAAAAGAACTAGAAATTCATAAAAATTTCAAAAATAATAATCGTATTTTATAAAAACATCTCTGAAAAAAAATTGACTAAAAAAACAGTTAAAAAAATTGATTTTTTTAATTTGATTATACTCATTTGTTTGGAGCCGCTCTGGAGCCGGAGCTCTGCATATGCAGTTATTTTTCACTTTATCTTGTCAAACAAATATAACAGTTCTGATATAATTTATTAGACGCATTTGCTGAAGATATAAATACAGAAAAATAAAACTTAGTTACATATATAATTTATTTATAATAGAGATGTATGCAACCCTTGGAATTAGGAAAAATGAGGTCAACAACAATTTGCCGACCTCAATCTTTTTGAGCTCGACATCAGGTTGGCAAAAATTATTTGATACAAAGATCTAACCGTAAAACATAGAAACAAGGTCAGCAAAAAATTGTCGACCTCAAACACTTTCAGGTAGGTCAGCTTTGCCGAATGCCAACCCTAATTTCGAGGGTTGTGTATATATATAATATATATATATTATATATATATATATATATATATATATATATATATATATATATATATATATATATATATATATATATATATATATATATATATATATATTCAAACTTTCCTTATATACTGACCTTAATCCAAAGTATAAGAAACAATTAATAAACATTGTAAAACCTAACAAAATATTACCTTATTGAATGAAATACTATTGGGAGTTTCTAATCTCGGTATGGATGGTACACTAGCAGTGAAAGAATTATTATTCTGCTTAACAGCAAGTTTTGTAACATGCTCAGCATATTCAGCTATTGGAGCTACTGTTAGTGTAATAGTGTTAGCTAAATATTAAATTGAAACTAAAGTTGAATTTATATGTTTATTTGCATCATTATTTATCTAAAACTATGTTTAAAATCAATTATTTTAAGAATATAATAAAATTTAATATAAAAATGAACAAATTTTTAGTTTAAAAAAATTCTTCTAGTATGGGAAGGATGCAATAAGCTACCCTAATATTACTAACAAATCTCCTTAAATTTGATTACAGTAGTCATCTTTACATTGAATGCCCAGTTGTTTAATTAAATATAAATACTGAATTAAACAGCAATAATAAAAAAATATATACTATTTTGAATTAAATTATATTAAAAAAATTAATAATGAAACTGAAATAATTAAAGTTAGTAAAATTTACCTGATGAAGCAATCATTCCAATAATATCTTTACGACTAACATTTTCAACATTCACACCATTTAATGCAATTAAATGATCTCCAGGAAGTAATCCAACATTTAAACTATTAGCAGCAGGTTCAACTAAATGAATCATTCGTTTGTCTCCTTTCCTAACACTTGATGAACGTCGAAGAACAATTCCAAAATCTCCTGCTTTAGTTCGATTAACATTTATTGTTCTTGATTCATTGCTACTATAACTACTTTTAAAGACAGGTTCATTTAAATCTAGATTAACTGCCTTATTATCAGTTGCAGAAACGTTTGACATATTACTTTGGGAAGAATATGAAGTCGTATCATCTTCTGTTGATTCAAGATTAATTTCTCTGTCAAATGTTGATGTAATACTGCTAGATGGACTGTTTAAAGTGGGTGAAAATAAATAAGAGAGTGGAGGTGAGAATGTTGGTGATTTTGCATGTGAATGTGTTGGTGAATGTGTGGATGGTGGTTTGTGTGAAAAATTGAGTGAAAGTTTAGAAGAATTAATTTTTGATTCCGAACTTTTTTCGTTGAAAATATTTCCTTGATGAAAATATTCTTCTTGTGAATCGTTTGATTTTTGAAATGCTTCGTCGATTCTTATACCATCTGAATCAGGCGATTCTGGTATTTCAACGTCCTGATTACTTTTATCTTTATATTTCTTACTAAATTTAAATAATTTAAAATTTCTTTTATTTTCTAGGTCATTAGACCCAGCAGTTATATTTTCAAAACTTGAACTTTCTGGTAGAGAACTACCTTCTTTTTTTTGTTTAGTTCTCCGAAACATTTTAGAACCTTTTTGACTATTTACTTGCAGCCTAACACTTCAAGAAACATAAACCATACATTGTATAAGACTTTATTCCATTTTCTAAAAATAATATTACGAAATCTGCATTTTTTAAGTGTAGCTTTTCGTTTACTTAAAGTGACTTAAAATAAATAAGTACCTTATTTTAAATACGCCGTGGATAGCCTACCGAAAGTCGGTAGCCAAAAAAATAAAAATTTGCCTACCGAAAGTCCGTTTTATTGGCTTAAAATGTCACGTGTCAAAATAGAATTTATCAACCAATAAAAGCGCTTTCGGTAAAATAAAAAAATAAAAACAACTCACCTCGACTGTCGGTAGCCAAAAAAAAAAAACTTCGCCTACCGAAAGTCCTTTTTTAGCTAAGAATGTCACGTGTCAAATTGAATTTATGTACTAATAAAAAGCGCTTTTGTTAGAATAAAAATATTATGTTAGGCCGCCGACTATAGTCGGTTTTACTAAGATATTAATTATTAATTTAATAGTTAGTAAATTATTTTATTAAGTTATATCTTATAAAATAACTTACACATACGTTTTAAGAAATTAGTATAGGGGAAAGCGGGGCAACAAGGCGAATGGGGCAAGATGGGTTTTCATATAACAACTCAACAAAAAATCTTAAAATTGTGTGAGAACGAAACTGTATTTGCATCATGAATTTTAGAACACCAATTGGTTTTTTGAAATTAACGCAATTTTAAACGCAAAAGTTTACTTTTTGCGCTAAAAAAAAAAATGCCTCAGTTTCGGTTTCTTATAATGGATGGTGTCCTTTAAGTTTAACTTCTTTAGAACTAGTTTTTTGCGACTTGTGTTTATTTTGTGTTACTTTAGTTATAGTTATTGGTAGTTTTTAAAATTTTATAAAATTGGAGGCAAAAATTGCATAATAAGTCATTTTGCCCCGGTCACGTGACCAGATGACAAATTTATGAACATTTTATTTTAACATTTATTTCAAATTGTTATATTTCCAATCTGAAAATTCATGCAGGCAATGAATCATTTTAATAACATAAACATACTGAGAAAGTATTATTGCTTCACGACTGATAGTTTTGCAGTAAATCAGGGCTTTCAAAACGTTCGCTATGTTGCTCCGCTTTCACCTATCTAAAATATAATAACAAATAAAAGTACTTTTGGTAGCAAATTTAGTGTCTGTAAATACATAAATAATATTCATAAAAGATATCTTTATTAAAATTAGTTAAGGTAATTTCGTTTACCAAATAATGATAAAATAAATAAGATCTATTTCTGCTTCGGAGCGTTCTCCTTCATTAATTTCCTTAAATCACTCGCTGTTCTTCTAAACTCTAGTTAAATTGGTTGTTTTAAAATTGCTTTGCTAAACGATGGTCTGTAATACTTGCTTAGAGCGTGTAACATTAATTTACCATCTACTATCGATCACAAATTATAGATTGTATACTTCCATTAGGTTGCGTTTAGTAAATACTTCGTTTATAAATTAATTCAGATATTTTTGCACATTAAGTAAAAACGCATGGGGTTATATATTTCCCTAATAAAAGAGTTTAATTTATTAAAAAACATAACTGTAAACATATTTGTAATACCATATGTATATATTACATTGCATGTAACATGGTATGTAATATGTATATTTACTCAATTTTTATTTAATAAATTTATTAATTGACAAATATTATAAAATTTCTACAAACCTTATATAACTTCTAAAAATATTGCCTTGGTTTTTAGTTTATAAATTACAAAGTGTAAAACTTTTGTAACTTATTTAACGAAATGCACCACGAGAAGGTAAACCATAGGACTTGGCATTTCATATTTCTAGATTAAATACAAAACAAAAAACAAACAAAAACAAAAAAGGAAAAAATATTGTCACAAAAAAAATTTTTTTTTTTCTTTCGTTTTTTCTTAAAAACAGTTTCTTTTTATTTTATAATACTAGATTTTTGAAAAAAAAAACAAAAAAAACAAACAAGATTTACAGAGCTTTTATAAATATTTTCACAATCTGTATCTAATCTATACAATATATGTAATACTATATAATCTTACAGAGCTTTTAAAAACATTTTCACAATCTGTATCTAATCTATACAATCTATATAATACTATTTAAATATAACTATATAATCTGTAACAATACATATATATATATATATATATATATATATATATATATATATATATATATATATATATATATATATATATATACATATATATATATACATATATATATATATATATATATATATATATATATATATATATATATATATATATATATATATATATATATATATACAAAAATTATAAAGGTAATACTTAAATCATTACCTTCCATAACAAGTGCGACAAAACCAATACCTTGCTTTTAAAAAGGAATTCTCTTTTTGTCCTACACATTTTTTATGTGACCACAATAAGCATGAATCACATGCTATTGCATTACCAGTTTTATTTCCTTCGCTTGTGCTCTTCAGACATACAGCACATGGCCAGATATGCTGATTTTTTTTAGCCTTGATTACTTTATCAAGTGCTTTCCATGCATCCGAGCTAAAGTATATTTGCAATGAAGAAAGTAACTCTAATGCACTTTCATCAAGTATAGATGAGGGAATACAATTCGGTCTTTTTTCTACAGCACTCTTATTGATAAGGGTACCAGAAAGAGCTTTCTGTACGTCATCAGCTTTTAAAAACCAACCAAGCATCACTATAACAAAACCATTTGAGCTTAATAACTTATGCTGCAAAACCATTAATTTTAATTAAGTAGTCACCCATAAAGTGTGTCATGCTGAATTTGACTTTTTAATATAGATAGGAGATCATTTCCGTTTCTGCACAATGATCATAATTAAACATATAAATTTAAAATTGTGCAAGAAAAGAAATCTTCTTAGTACTAGAAAAAATCTTATACTACTATTTATTAGTTAGACTCTTTATGGATGACCCCTAATATTATTTATTAGCTTAAACTTTAAAATAATATTTTTAACATACAAGCATGTCTTTTAGCTGGTTCAAGTTTTATAAAAGGAACTGGCACATCAGAAGACCGACAAAGACGTTTTTTAGGAAGACCTATTGTTGTATGAGTAGCACCTTTAGGTCGTCCACAATGGACAACATTTTGAGGCAAGCAAATCTTTTTTAACTGAGTATCTAAAATGAATGTACAAAATGCTACAACTCCATCTTATTCTTACATAATTAATAAATTCTATTTAATATAATTATCACTCTCAATTGCATTTAATTATTTTGAATTTTATATATACCTACTAAACCTGCTTTGTCCTGCACAACAAAACATTTTTCTTGGTTTTGTTGTAAATTATTGATAGTAACATATTCCTCTGAAGACACATTTCTAAAATCAATCTCATTTCCCTCCTCTTTGTTCAAAATTTCAATTAAATCTACATCATTTGGTGCTCCTGCATCTGAAAAAGTTTGATTTGAGACTATATCAGATACCCCTAAGTCTGTCTCAATAAGTTCATTTAACACCATGACTTTGCCATGCTCCCAACCCTTCTGCAGTTCTTGTAGAAGACCCATTCTCTGTTCAAAAGAAGGTCCAGTTGACTCTGAAACCAATGTAGCTAACAGTGAAGTTGTACGAAGTGCAAGTTTAAACTTTTCATGCTGAGAAAGGATTGTTTTTTTTCTTGGAGCAACACTAATCTGCACACAAGACTCCTTAGTTTCGGAAGAAGTATTAAAAACTCTTTGATGCTGACGATAATACTTTATTGTCCACCTTTCTAGACATAGCTTGGCATCAAATAGATTCAAACCTAGCAACTGGCGAACTGCGAAGATATGGCGACACGGCAGACCCATTGATTTTCTAAACATACAACCACACGAATCAGAAGTAACTATAAGCATACCTTCACTGCTTTTAACTATATAGTTTTCATTGTCACAAAAAAGATTTACTTCTGAATGCAAGGAAAATTGTTTCAATACTTGCTCAAATGCATATGTTGTCAAAATATTTTTATATTCTGATTCAACTGAATTAGGTTCAAAAAAGTCTATACAAATTTTCTGCATTTTGAAAATAGTTTTGTGGTCTCGCTCATTTCGCATTGAGGCTAACAAAACATATAAATTTTCAAGAAAATTTTCTAAAGTACTATTACAATCAATCACTTCTTTCAGTTTTCCATTAAAATTTTCAAGACGATTGTTAGTGGTGTTCATAAAATTAGCACAAGCATAATTTAAGCCAAAGACCCATTCATTACGAATGTTGTGCCAATTATTATTAAAATATTCGAGAACTGTAGTTGGCGATAAAGAAACAAATATGTCATAAAATTCATTATACTGTGTCTCTGATCTTGCATATGCTAATTTTTGAATGAGTTCTAGACAAGACGTTCGTTGACCACTTGTGATGCCAAGTTTTACAGTGGAAATTTCACGATTAAATGTTCTGAAAATAAAAATCCTTGAACTAATTATTTTAACAATTAACATTTAACTTACTAGCTGTTACTAGATTATTTTACCTAAGAGTGTGAAATAGGCAAAGTAAAAGAGATGCATCAGGAAAAGAAGCACGTAAAACATCTCTCTCGTTTAAGTCTTTGTCCGTAATTATGGCATTAGTTTTAGACCAGGAACAGTTGTTTTTTTTAAATGTTTCTACAAACCAACTAAAAACATTATAAAAATAGTTATTTTGACAAAAAAAAACACTATCTTTATATACATCGCATAAACATCAAACCTCAATGATGCCGCATCTTCATTTGTAATTAAACCAACGGCAGCTACTTCACTTTCACCTATTTTAATAAAATTAAAATTAATTAAAAAACAAGTTAGCAACAATGCAACATTTTAACTCTTCCAATTATTGTCCGATTAGTCTTCTCTGTGTGAACATAAATTTAAATGATTCTGGGAAACATATTTGGAAACCTTATACAGGCTTAGAATAAGCAGAAATATGAAAAAAGAACACAGTCAGTTGTCATGCTATGTGTTTTTGTTATTTTAAACTGTATTTTTTATGTATAAACTCTTACTCTTAAAATCTACAACCTCTGACTCTTAAAACTTAAAACCTAAACTTTCTGACTCTTAAAATCTTAAACCTTTTAAGTCTTGATTCAGCCTCTTCCTTGCTCTATAACTCTATTCTTTGTTTTCAAGTAACCCCCACTTAATAGTGGTTGCTTGCAGCCTTGTTAGAAGTAAATTAGATTAAAAAAGAAGAAAAAAAATCATAAAAAATAAATATTTGTATTTGAATATAAAAAATTGTTCATTTCCTTTATACATTTTGTGATTGGTTGATACATTCCTAAATTAACTGTTATCAGTATTATTTACAAAAGTTAATTTAGGGATGATGATCAATTATATCACAAAATGTATAAAGAAACACACTAACCACAACTATCTTCACAAAGTATAATATAAACAGGCAGACGAATTTGTAACAGTTTATATGTTGCATCAAAACAAAGGAACTCTGGATATGAATTGTACGCACTGTGCATAA